ACATACTTACATAATCTCTCCTAAGATTTTACAACCAGAGTGATGTCAGCAGCATAGCGACATAAATGTCCCTTTTTTCTCTCCCCTTCCATGAATTGATTTACAATGAATCAAACATCCATAACCAAACAAAAACCCCTCTGCAGATCAGACTTAAGACACCCAAGACATCCGCCCATCTGTGCATCCAGAGGTGGGTGAATGGGACCTTGAAGGAGGTTGTGCAGTCAAGGATGTTGCCACACCGGAGGTATGGATCAAAGACTTAAACATAAAACCTAATGCCATAACTCCTAGAAGGAAATGTATGGAAGAAGCTCATTGATATGGTCTTGTCCATGATTTTTTTAAATTATATTTTTTTATTGATTTCAGAGAGGAAGGGAGAGGGAGAGTGATAAAAACATCAATGATGAGAGAGAATCATTGATCGGCTGCTTCCTGCATGCCCCCCACTGGGGACTGAGCCCGCAACCCTGGGCATGTGCCCTTGACTGGAATTGAACCTGGAACCCTCCAGTCCGCAGGCCAACGCTCTATCCACTGAGCCAATCCAGCTAGGGCTGTCAATGATTTTTTTTACATGATATCCATAGCACAAACAACAAAAGCAAAAATCAACAAATGGGACTATATCAAACTCAAAAGCTTCTGCATGACAAAAAAAATGATTAACAAAATGAAAAGGCAATCTACAGAAAGGGAAATTTTTGCAAACCATATATCATTTCAGTTATTATAAATATATGAAGAACTCATACAACTTAATAACAACAATAATAAAAGCCACAAACAATTTATTTAAAATGTGTACAGAACTTAAAAAGACCTTTTTTTCCCCCAAAGAGGACATCAAAACGGCCAACAGGCACATAGTTATTCAACATCAGTAATCAGGAAAATGCAAATCAAAACCATAGTTGGAATGGCTATTATCAAAATAAGAGGTAGCAAGTGTTGGAAAGGATGTGGACAACAGGAAACCCTTGTACACTGTTGGTGGGAATGTAAACTGGTGTGGCCACTTTGGAAAACCATATAAGGGTTCTCAAAAAACTAAAAGTAGAATTACCATACCATCCAGCAATCCCACTTCTGGGTAAAAGGAAATAAAAAAAGGATTTCAATGAGCTATATATTCTCTGTATTTATCACAGCATTATTCACAAATAGCCAAGATGCCCATCAACAGATGAATGGTTAAGAAGCTATCACCCATGTGAGCGTGCGCACGCGCGCACACATACACACACACACACACACACAGAACATTATTTAGTCACGAGAAAGATGGCTATCCTGCCATAAGTGACAATACAGGTGGACCTTGAGGACATTATGCTAAGGGAGACACACCAGAGAAATATAAGAACTGCCTGGTCTCACTTACACATGGAAGCTAAAAAAGTCAAAGCTGTAAAAGACAGAGTAAAATGGTGGTTACCAGGGGATGGAGGTGGGAGATAACACTGATGTCTTTTAAGGGTACAAACTTACAAGGAGTCATAAGCCATAGAGACCTAATGCATAGTATAATATAGACAATAATATTGTACAGAAAATCCTCATTTAACGTCACAAATAGATTTTGTGGCTTTACGAGGCACCACATAAGGAAACCAATTTTACCACAGGCTAACTCAGGGGTGGGCAAACTTTTTGACTCGAGGGCCACAATGGGTTCTTAAACTGGACCGGAGGGCCGGAACAAAAGCATGGATGGAGTGTTTGTGTGAACTAATATAAATTCAAAGTAAACATCATTACATAAAAGGGTACGGTCTTTTTTTTTTTTTTAGTTTTTTTCATTTCAAACGGGCCGGATCTGGCCCGCGGGCCATAGTTTGCCCACGGCTGGGCTAACTGATATAAACAAGAGTTAAGTTCCTAGGCATCTTACCACCTTTACAAACAAACTACATTGAACAAAATATCATTTGAGATGTCATTTGCTATTATGTAATGTGACAAATCCCTATGACTTGGCAATCCTGTCACAAGACATGACTGTATGAAAGTAACACCCTGTACACCTTAAACTTACATTGTTGCATGTCAAATGTATTCAGTTACAGGAAAAAAGATGAAAGGCCATGAGTGAGCATGCTTTGATGCCCTATTTTAAGCCTTTAAAATATGAAATTGGACAAACAAAACAGGTCCAGAGACATGGATACATGGGACAGACTGACAAATCTAAGAGGGGAAGAGATTAACCACAGAACATATAGGCATAGTTTACAGTTGTGAGTAGGAGAAACAGCCTATTCTTGTATTATTACTTATTATTTACTAGAGGCCCAGTGCATGAAATTCCTGCACAGACAGGGTCCCTAAGCCTGGCCGGTGATCAGGGTTGATCTGTGGGGCACCTCCCCCCTGCCCCCAGCTGACACCACCTGACTTGGCTGGCCTGGGGCCTGCAGGCTGGGGACAGCTCCTGCATGGAGCGTCTGCCCCCTAGTGGTCAGTTCGCATCATAACCACCAGTCCTTCCACGGGTTGTTCAGCCATTCGGTCGATTTGCATATTGGGCTTTTACTAAATAGGATTGTATTATTTTCCATGCAAACAACTATAAACCTACTTTTGTCCCATCCTGTGTATATTAAGTTGGTTACAGTTCTAGAAAGAAAAAAACCTGTGGTATATCTAGGGTGCTCTTTAGGGGGGCCACAGCTGGTAAGGACCAACAATCAATCAGAGGGAGGGTCTATGGGAGGAGCTAAGGTCTATGGAAGTTCTCGAACTCTATGCAAAAACTCCATTAATAATAGCAATAATAATAAAGCTCTACCTTCCACGTTCACCTTCCCCTAACTTCCTCTCCCTTCTATATATAAACACCCCTGCACCCTGCCATGCGGGAAAACTATGCACTGAGATGCAACTCTTTCTTTTTTTGTTACTCCTCACCCGAGGATATTTTTCCATCAATTTTTAAGGAGAGTGGAAAAGAGAGGGAAAGACAGAGAGAAAGAAATATCCACGTGAGAGGAACACATCGATTGGTTGCCTCCTGCACAATCCCCCACCAGGGCCTGGGCCAGGGAGGAGCCTGCAACCGAGGTACATGCCCTTGATGGGAATCGAAACCAGGACCCTTTGTTCTGCAGTCCGACGCTCTATCCACTGAGCCAAACCGGCCAGGGCAACATGCACCTCTTTCTTCTTGCAGAATAAGTCCTCTTTTCTTATTATTAATCCTCACCGGAGGCTACTTTTTCCATTGATTTTTAGAGAAAATGGAGGGAGGAGGGGGGGAAAGTTGGACAGAAACATCCATGTGTCCCACCCTGGCTGGGGCAGGGATCAGATCCTGCAACGCAGGTACATGCCCTTGACCAGAACCGAACCCGCGACCCTTCAGCCTCGGGCTGACGCTCTCACCACTGAGAAAATCCGGCCAGAACAGCGGTTCTCAACCTGTGGGTCGCGACCCCTTTGGGGGTCAAACGACCCTTTCACAGGGGTCGCCTAAGACCATCGGAAAACACATATATAATTACATATTGTTTTTGTGATTCATCACTATGCTTTAATTATGTTTGATTTGTAACAATGAAAAGACATCCCGCATATCAGATATTTACATTACGATTCATAACAGTAGCAAAATTACAGTTATGAAGTAGCAACGAAAATAATTTTATGGTTGAGGGTCACCACAACATGAGGGTCGCGGCATTAGGAAGGTTGAGAACCACTGGGCTAGAACCAGAATAAGCCCTTCTTGGTGCCGAAACACCTACTCGATACTACTTTCCAGGAGACATACCCAAAGCACCTGAAATCACGGAACCCCTGACTCCCGGCCAGGCGGAGGCGGCGACAGAGCGGAAGCAGGTCCCCGGGGTCCTCCTGCGTC